AACTACTTCATTGCTGATATCTGTCTATATTAGTTAAACAATTCCAGATGTAAAATGGGGGTAGTGGTGTTCAAGGATTTTTCTGCTCCCAAATGTCTTGTGTGCATGTCTCTGTTCCGGCCATGTCCAGGCTTCCTGCTTACTACTCCCAGTGACCCATTCTGAACTACTTCCAAACAACTCACACTTTCCGAATGAAGTCCTCGTTCATGACATTTCCTCAGCCTGAAACACTGTTCTCATTATTTTGCTAGTCAAAATCATATTCAATCTTAAAGGCTTCATTCAAATTCTCCTTCCTTGTCAAAGTCTCTTCTAGACCGATACCTTTTCCTTCCAGCTGGAAGCAATCACTTCCTGCTGTGTGGTCCATATAACTCTCTTGAAATACACACCCTACTCTTACTTGTGTTGTGGTCAGTACCAACTCATTCCCCAGAGAGGGGCAGTTCTGTTTATCTCCATTGCATTGGATAAAGCCCAGAGTTCTTAGAATAATGAATAAGACTAAGGCTCCTATGACTCAGTTCCTCCTCTTTCCTTTTTTTAGCCTTCTGACTTGACACTGCTCTCCTGTCAGCAGCATGCGGCAGGTCTCAGTGGAGGTTCCATCTCCTGCTATGGGCTTAGATTTGTTGCTGCTCAGGTACAAAGTTGTGTTTAATACAGCAGTAAGATCATATAGTAACTAGTCCAAGGCATAAGTCCTTGGATACATACCTCTTCCAACCCTGTCTTGCTATTAGTAAGCTTTCCCATTATTGGAACACAGTACCCAACATCACAACTTAAAAGAGGAGAGGTTTGATTTTGCTAATATTTTAAGGGGATTCAGTCCATGGTCAGCTGGCTCCAGGGCAGGAACATCATGGCAGGAGGGCCTGGCAGAGCAAAGCTGCTTAGTTTATTGTGGCTGAGAAGCAGAGCAGGGGGACACCACCAGAAAGAGATGGGTAAGAGACTACATATAGTACCCAAGACCACGCCTCCATGACCTAGCCAGACACACCCAGAAGTGTGCTGCCCCAATCCCTTGGGCAGATCCAAATCCAATCAAGGTGACACTCTACCCTAACCACCACAGTTTTCCACATCCTTAACAAAAAGATATAAAAAATTGGCCACTTCCATATTTATCTTGGACTGAAGGACTCTGTAGGAGTACTTTCTGGTTTATATTTACACAGTTATTAAATCAGCCATTGAACTTTTAATACATCTTCATTAGAAGAAAAACACCAATTTAAGTACGCAATTCAGATTTTTTAGTATTTTCACAGAGTTGTGTAACCATCACCACCATCTTAATTCCAGAGCATTTTCATCACTCAGAAAAGTGACCCCTTTCCATTAGCAGTCACTCCTATCTGCCCACTAACCAGTCTTAGGGAACCAGTAATCTGTTTTCTCTTTCTGTATATTTTCCTATTCTGGACTCTACATATCAGTGGAAGCCTACAATATGTGGCCTTTTGGTCTGGCTTCTTTCACTTAGGATGTAAGAAGAAGCCAGTGATTTTTAACTTTCGGAGACTGACTTGCTTTGCTTAATGTGGTTTTCTCCAGTTCCATCCATTTTCCTGCACATGAGGTGATTTCACTCTTCTTTATGGCTGAATGTTACTCCATTGAGTGTACAGGTTATGCCGCATTTTCTTTACCCGTTTATCTCTTCATGTTCATCGAGGCTGCTTCCACAGCTTACTTATTGTGGACTGTGCCATTGTGTAATGGGTTTGCAAGTATCTCTCTAGTAGGCTATCTTTAATTCCTTTGGGAATAGACCAAGGAGTGGGACAGCTGGATCAAATGGTATGTATGCCTTTTTGAGGAATCTCTGTATTTTCCATAGTGGTTATACTAGTTTACATCCTGCCAACAGTGTAGGAGGGTTCCTTTTTCCCACATCCTCACTAGACTTTTTTTT